CCCCAAAACCCCAAAACCCCAAAACCCCATATTTATAAAAGGTGGTTGTCCATATTATTAATAAGTAATAAAAATGAAAGACAAAAGACAAATGTATAAGCTTTACAAATCATCTTCCAATGAAAGCAACTCTTCTGAAGAATCCTATCCAGAGGAAAAGAAGGAAGACTGCAAGTCTGATGAAAGCGGATCAAGTAAGAAGATCGAATTCTCTTCATCCTCTGAGATGGAAGAGTACTACAAATCATGCATGACCGAAAGTCCACTTTATTCTTCTCTCAATCTCCCAATGATTGTTGAGGAAGAGGCAGAGTCTGAATATGGCAAACCTATCGCAGATTTGAATCTTGAGTCTGATGATGAAGATGATTCACCCTTCTTCGTTGTGCCAAACAGCAAGTTATCCTTTGAAGATAGATGTGAATACTCTGGTTTGATGAAACAAATCTGGAATCACAGCAAATAATTGAGCTACATTAGCCTAATTTGAACAATTACTTGGAAGAGTATTCTCGCTAAAGAGTTTTACTGTCCTCATTGGTTCTTAAAACGGCAAAACCTATATCTTTAATTCCTTTAAATAATATTTCAAACATAAAAACCTCTCTTTTAATGAATCTTTCATCCCAATACTTATGCCATGATCCTATTTCTGCAAGTTAACTTATATATCCTCGAGATTAAATATTTAGAATATCATTTTTGAAGAAGGGGAAATTACTAACATAATTTAATCAACTATATACCTTTTAAAACTGCCGATTTAAAGCAAATTCTTCAAAAACTTTAGGTTCCTAATCAGTTCAGAGTACATTATCATGTTTAATTTCCCTTTATGCCTGTTAATCAGCACTTCAACAACTTTTTGCCAGTTTAGGATACCCTGCTCCTCTTTTTGCAAAAGCTCTTCCCATAAAAAATTGTAAAGAGCATAACTTGCTATAATTTCATTACCAAAACGTCTGATTTATTCTTCAGTAGAGTTATTTCCAATCTTCAATAATTTTAACCAATCCCTATTTCGTGCACAAAGTTGGAAGGAACCGAAGAGCCAGAATGAAAGATAAAGAGTGTCTTGTTGGACTATAGGGAAATCTTCGTAAGTTCTGGTAGAAGTGGAAAATAGGTGTTAACGGTACAGTCAATAACAAAATTAGGTTCAAGTTTATTGTTTTAGAATCGCTGGTTGGGGGTTAAAACTAAGCTAGTTTTGCAACTGACTCAAAGAACTCGAATTAAATTATGCTGAGCTTTAATTAGAGCTGCCAAAACAGATATTTTTAAACTTTTGAAGACTCTTATATTTTCTATTCTTTTAAATTTGGAGAGTAGCATCTTCTTCAGTAATAATTAGACAATTATAAGCCATAAAGTATATTATTCAATAAGAGATGCCTTGAACTATCAATATAATCGAACGGATCCCTTGGTCATCAAATATAGTTATCAGTGGCTCTTATATTTGCTAAAAATTCAATTTTTTACTATTTCGAGTAAGTTTCGAAGATTTTTAGTATTCACCGAAACTTTTCAAAGTGCTCTTAAACTATTTCCATATACGTTTCAAGAGTGATTTGAAACGATATGATTGCACTTTTAGAAGGAATTTTCCAGCTTCGATTCTTTGACCTGTTGAAATTTCATCGGATAAATCAATTCACCAGAGAGTAACTTTCGGGTTCGAATTTTTCATAACAATGACTAATGAATTTTCGAAAGATCTGGTCTAAAATCTCACTAGTTGCCACCAAACTAGTTGTAGCCACTATTACTATGAATTTCTTAGCAGTAGGAAGAACAAACTCCCCTCTTAGTAAATAATACACTCGGAGCTGCCCGCCAATTTCTCCACCTAATTTTATGTTCAAATTAACTATAAAATTTTGACCCTCCATTTCTGGAAGAGAAGGTGAAGAGGAGGGCATGGCTTTGGAGTGACACAACAGAAATCGATGAACAGCAATGTTTTGATGTATAGTGGAACTTTCCTAGTCATTATAAATCGAAAGGAGTATGCAGATAAAGTATTATATCAGTCATAAATAAGATGAAAAATGCGAGATTCTTACCTTTAGACATTAAAAAATGTGTCTAATTTTTTTTAAATTATCAGTTTTATGAGTTTGGTTGCCAAACTAGCAGTGTTGAGAAGATACTCTCAATTTAGCATAAAGCTTGAGTTCTATTATACTGGTATTTTGTTCAAAAATAAATCATTCAAAAGGAATAATTTTATCTCACAAATTGGAGGCTACTTTTTACAATAAATCTTGAAGAAGAGTAAACCTTCTAAAAATAAGCCAGTGTCACCAAAGAAGATGCTTAATTCAAACTGATCAGCATATCTCCTCTCTATAGTTTCCTCTTGCTTCCAAAATTGTTAATGAGTAGTTTCTAAGTTCTACTAACAGTACAGACTTAAAATTCTCGAAAAACTCTAATAACTTCTTACTCAAATTATGAGCAGTATATGGAAGATAATTTTTGAAGTTTTCATCAGCCCAATTATTGGATGACAACATGGGGTTTTGGGGTTTTGGGGTTTTGGGG